CAATGTTTTTGTAAACATCACTATATTTAATAGTACAGTACATATTCATTTATGACAAATAAAAGGAGAGGAAAAGGAAAACAGGAAAAAGGAAAACAATAAAATAGGCATGTATAATGGACAGTTATAGACATGTTGACTGATCAGGGATGGCAATAACTTGATGGATTCCAAGCATGTGGAAGATTTTAAATTCTTCAACATTTTTCATTAGGTAAAATGTCAGAAAAGGAAAAAAGGAAAAGCAGAGCACAAGAGAGAAATAAGAAGCTCTCCAGAGCCAAATGTTTAAACCATGAAACCTTCAGCTCAGCATCATCCTGAAGAAGGAATATCTAATTAGTGCTGCAGGTTGTTAACTTTGGGTCATACCTAACCTCCACGGGGAGAGAATCCTGAAAACACAAAGCCAATAGCAATTCTGCCATATCAGGCTTGCAACACTTCAGATGACCACTAGGTGGGTCAGTTTTACAGTTCTGATGTAGTAAGCCTAATAATTAATACGTACCGGTATATAAAATTATTTACCTCATCAGGTAGGATGCATCCCATTTCTTTGCCATTTTTATTGATGAAGAGTTCTAAAAAACCTGAACGCCTACATAGTCTTCTATGACATTAAAAAAAAAAAAAACCAATAAAGTTATTACCTTCTGATTTTTGAATTTTAGAATAAATAGACGGGAGATCGTGGTCTATTAGATGAGGTGCTTATACAAGTAATTGTACAACATACAGGTCTGGTAAATTTAATTTCCTTGATTCAATACTAAAATTCCCACAGCATTTTTGATTCTTGTCCTGGGTATGAAATGTTAGGACCCTAGAGAGGAACAGATTGGTGACAGCTAACATAATCAGTGAGTGGGTTCAACTTTCTCCTCAACTGTCAAACTGTTTGTTTGTTTGTCTTTGTCTTAAGACAATGTGTAAAACCACCTACTGTACCTTGTAAACCATGGTTTATGGCTTAAGTATAAATCTGCTCTTTGTGGCTTATTCAGCAAATCCTGGGTAGAAATTATGACTGATTGTGATAAACCTAGCAGTATCTGCAAAAAAACAAAACAAAAAAACCCCCAACCAATTGTGACTTTTACTTTGCCTATGAATACCAAGATGCGGGAGCAGGACGATTAGGTGATTGGTATTTTGTAATCAAAGGGATCAGTTTTCCAGTCCTTTATCAGATATTGAAATAATAATATTGTTTGATTTCAATTGAATCAAGTTGACAAACTGAATCTTAAACAAAACCTCAATTAATGGAGTCCAAAGTTCCTATCCTGTTTGACTTCTGCTATGTTAAGGAGTTGTACCTGATAGAGTGTCCTGGTCAAAGATTGAAGAATCTTGAATTAAATATCAAAATGCAGGCTGATCAGGAATACTGAAAGTAGTTGTCTGGAACAGTGTATATCCCTGTTGTTAATCTGGTATATTTTAGAGAGAAAACAAGTACTGGACACAAAGGACAGTATTTGTAGAAGAAATGTTTATTTACAACAACAAGTCTATAAGAAAAATAGAATGAGTCATCCATTTGTTGCAGGGTAATTGTGTTTCAACAGTGTGATCAAAAAGAAAATATGCTTCATTTCTATTCTTCTTGGAAAGGAGGAATTTATAAGAATAGGGATGAGATAAAGACTTGAATCACTGGGAGAGCTCTAGCCCATTGAATGCAGAATAACATCCCCATCAAAAAAGAAGCTGGAATTGAACAGGGTCAATTGACATGATTTAATGAAAAGCAGGGAAGAATTACTCTTCTCTGTGCTGAACAGGATTGCTCTATTCCACCCACTTTTTTCTTCTTCCTTTAACAGATTAAGAGTTAGAAGAGACTTTATTGGTCATCTAGTCCAACCCTCTGCCCAAGCAGGAGACCCTACACCATTTCTGACAAATGGCAGTCCAATTTCTTCTTGAAAGTCTCAAGTGATTCTCTGATATGTCCCCTGTGTCTCTTAGCTAGGTGCTTCTTTGGCTGTACACATCTTTAAAAATAGTCTTCACCCTGAAGATAGCATTCCACTGGACTTGTTTATTTTCCCCCTTTTTAATTATCTGTTTTGTAAGCTCTGCTTTCTCCTTTTTGCAGGAAGTTTAATAGAACTCAATGGAAAAAGTGAATATTATTGCAGAATACTAAATAAAAGGAAAGTGGGTATAGCTGGCTTTGCAAGCCCTGTTTTGTGAGTTCTCTCGTCAGCACAGGATGCTGAAGCAATGGAGAAAAAGTGTGGATTGCTTGCCAGTCAATCTGAAACATGGAAAAAGATTGACCAAAAGAGGAATCATGGCGGGCAGAGGGGAGAGAAGTTCTGTATCATACTTAAAAATCCATTCCAGGTACCAGCTCTACTTCTTCCATAATTAAGAAAATGCAGAGAGAAGTCAGTTGAAGCTGATACAAAATAGAAATTGTTTAATTTCATCTTTTGCCCAGGCACAGGGAAAAGTAGGCTCTTTGGAAAATCAACCTTTGTACAGTTTAGATGGTGTTCTGTTATAGCTCTATAGAAAGAGTTTATCAAGCATTAAATTAGTTTTGGATAGTCACTGGGTGAGCCAATGATTCTGGCAGTTTGTGCTGTGATGATTGACATGTTATGCCCCAGAGCAGGAGTATCAAACTCACGTCGTCATAGTGTCATCACGTGACATATTGCGACTTTTCTCCCCTTCGCTAACTGGGCATGGGCGTGGCCAGCATGTGACGCATCCGGCCTGTGGACTGCGAGTTTGACACCCCTGCCCCAGAGACATGCTCATAGATTTTGGTGATTTTATTTACTCTAAGAATTTATTGATATGAACCACTATTTTTTCATCACATGCAGTTGAATGCATGAACTGAACTGATGCTTAAAGACTACTGTATGTGAATGGTATTCACAAACATTTACCTGAACATGTAAGGAATTATTTCTACTATTCAATCATCCTAAAATACATTGATGGACCAAACTTAAGGCTTCTCTAGTTTTGCCTGAGTGAATCTTATCCTTTCAATTAGAAGTATTAAGTCTTAGCCTTTTTTGTTTGGTTTTTAAACTAAATACAGACTATTCTGAGCCCATTATAAACAATTTAGCGATACAAACAGATTGCTAAAATGGAAAAATGGACTGTAAGTATGCTTTGAAGTACACTACTTAGGCTTTGCAATTTTATCCATAATCTTTCGCCTTATACTGCATTTTCTAAACAATCATCAAAGCTCCCTATATTAAACTTCCACTACTATTGTCTTTAAAATACCTGAATTTTAATACCTAAATCATAGAAATAATCTCAAAACAATAAAAAAAAATCCTTCTTTTTTACAACCCAGTTCACTGAGTTATAAAAGCAAAGCAATTTTAAAAGGTTTTTTTTGCTGTTCTGCAAAATAGACTTTAGTTTGTTAAAAAAATTATGATGTAAAGTATATTAAAAAAGCATGCTAGAATATGCATTGAAAATGACTATATCCAGGTTTTACTGCTTATTACTTACTTACAGATCAAAAGGAAAGGAGCTTATGGAGGAGTTGGGAGGTATGTAGGCATGCACACATCAGCTAGTTCATCTGCTGAATATCTCTATGCTCATATGGCATATTATGCAAATAGAAAGCTAGAGTGCTATGCTATGTATGTGTCAGATCTCATTGACTACACAAATAGATTTCTACAGGATAATCTGCCCCCAACATGATCTTTCAGATTTTCCAAAGTTCCATCATCGTTGCAACTGAGTCTATCCACCTTGCTACTGGCAATCCTCTTCTTCTCTTTCTTTCCACCTCTCCCAACATTACAGACTTCTGTACAGACTTAGAGCTGTGTCTTTGCATAAAGTGGGTAAATAATAACAACAACAACAGCATCAAATATCCAGATCTGCCTATCCCAGGTCCTTGATAAGGACTCGATAGGTAGACATACAGTAAATGCCAAACCCAGTCTGAACATCTGACTGACTGTGCAATGAAGAATAATAATAATAATAATAATAATAATAATAATAATAATAATAATAATAATAATAATAATAATAATAATAATTAATAATAATAATAATAATAGGATGCTATTTCCCCAGTCTTGTTTCTCTCCCAGATATATGAATGTCTACTTTCCGAGTTCCCTATCAACATGACGATTGCTGAGAAATTTGAAAACCAAAATCTTATGTACTTGAAGATACCCTAAGTTAAGGAAGCCTGGCATATGAACTGACATGCTTTATGGATCAGGAATATTATTTGTGAACAATTTGCACTATTAGGTCCTCCTGAGCCATCAGAGTTTCAAAGCCCAGTGAAGAGCTTCTGTACGAGAAAACTCATTAATAGATCCAGCTACTATGGGGAGTTTCACATTTAAGGATTGTGTGCTGCTTATCTCTTATCAATTCTCAATAACTGTCACTGGGAAGTGATTATCCACATTTAATTAGGTTCATGTTCCTGATCTGAAACTAGCAGTATAAAGATTTTGGAAACCTTGTGGATTGAACATAGAAGTGCCCTCAAAGATTATGCAGAAGACTGAAATGGAAGGCTCTAGTTATGGTCCAGGACTTGAAAAAGAAGAGTGAATGTTGTGCAAAGACATAATACTATTAATGGGGAAAATGTTGGAGTGTAACTCAGTTTGTTGTAACAGCAGCCATATCACCATGAAGGTGCATAGTATAAAAATGCCATAGTACAAAGTAAAATGAAAAATGAAAAATCATGTCCAAATCAGGGGTGGGTTCTACTTACCTTTACTACCGGTTCGCATCGTGCCCGTGCGTGCAGAAGCTTCCGCACATGCGTAGATCACTTATGATGATGTCTGGGTCAGTAGGCGGAGCCTCCCGCTGGTTTTACTACCGGTTCTTTAGAACCAGTCCGAACCAGGGGCAACCCACCACTGGTCCAAATGCAAGGTGTGAATAGTGTTTGTTTATATGGGTTTTACTGTATATTCTGACCTATGTGTTTCTGTTTGATCTTACAGGAATTATACTATGTTCAGGCAAGATATCCTTTGATCAACACACCTTTTGGAGAGACAGAACCGCAGCTATCCCAAGGTCCAGAAGTGAGAGGCAGGTCCTCTCTTTGGGCCAAAGGAAGAGAGCCATCTCATCAGCTGGCTTCACATCCTTCTGCTTTGTTCTGAGCTGAGTTTAGGTGATATATCCACCCGTTGCCACTCTCATGAGCAGAATGGAGTCTAAAGAAAGCACCCGAAGTGGAAACAAGACTGATACCAAGACTGCTAGCTCAGCAAAGTCTGAGAAACCTCATTCTGGGCCGGCGGCAAGCGCTGATAAGAAAGAAGCACCCAAGGAGCAGCCAGCTCCTGCTGCCACCACCCCTGCAAAAAAGGGGGCCACAGCACCCAGCGAGGCAGCCATGCTGAATGACCACAGCAATCTGAAGCCTACCGCAGTGCCAGCAGCCGAGGGGCCTGAGGCAACTGCCCATCCTGCCAACTCCGAGCATAAAGAGAACAGTGCAGAAGAGTCGCCAGGGAACACCATGTTTGAGAACATAAAGCCCCTGCTCATCTGTGGAGGGGCAGCAGTAGCTGCCATAGCTGTGATCATAGGAGTAGCCATCCTAGCTCGAAAAAAATAGGAAACCTAAGGAATGCAGGGAACAGAATTTCCCCTGGGTTGTGTACTGTTCCTTTTGACATCAGTGCATGCAATCACTTCTATAGATACTTATAAATATGCAGTATATAGCAAGAGAGAGATAGGTAGGTCTTGCTTAAGGTTAGTATGCCAGGGTCCTGAAAAAAAAACACCCAACCAGATTTGTGTTTCCTGGTCAATAGATGCTACTTCGTGTTTTCTTTCCATAACTCCTCCCCATCCCACTTTTTGGTCAGCTGTAAACTTGGCTCCAGCATCATTTTCAGAATACTTTGCTTTTAGTTGGGCCATGGAAGAGCAGAGGAAATAAACACTTTCTCTTCAAGAGGACTCATCTAGTATCCTGTATCCAGCTCACTGAAATACTTTCAAAGATGCATAAAAAGGCAGCATCTTCACTAATCTGAAGACCACGTGGTCCCATCCAGTATTCCATCTTTTTTGGTTCATCGTCAGAGCATTGAAGTATACTCTCACCCTAAATTACAAAGTTCTCTTTGGAATAGGAGAAGCTATCAGAGTTCAAGAAGCAAACTTAGCCTACTGACATTACTAACTAAAGCCCAGAAGGCAACATCTTGGCTCACCATCTATCACACAATGTCTACAAAGCATGGTACTAAATATAGTTTAGCCATTGATTGGAATAGCTTTGGAACATAGTAGTCTTTCTCTACCATTTAAATGCATGTTAAATGCAATTCTGGCTATGAATTGGCCAAGTACCCTTTGTAGAATTTAGATACTTTTAAAAAAGTTTTTTTTTTTTTTTTACAAAAAATCAGATATTTAAATCTATTTAAATCTAAATATTTATCTATTTAAAATGTTGGGAAGTTGAAAAGCTCATCCGTGTGTATGGATTTTGAACAAATGCTGAAGCTTCTCCATATAAAGTTACATACCTGTTTGTGCTATGAAGGGGAGTCAAGAAAAACAACCAACACCAAAAGCGTAAGCATGTATATTTTATTTCATCTGGAATATGGATTTAAGAAAATCTGCATATGGAATAACTGCCCAAATGCAAGAATTTGAACCCAATGGACGATCTTCATTTCAACATTTTATAAGCTTTAATTCAAGATATACCAGAAGAATGATATAGCCTCATGTATTTCAAATAACAGATTCGCAGGAGCCATTTCCCCCCACAACATTTGAACTGTGATGCTGAAGATGAGAAGAAATTTCCTGTTTTGAAATAGCCTTGTTGTGTTAGTGGTCTTCTTGAAATGATTAAAACCAGATGTGAAGGGGGGGAGGGGAAACAGTTATTTGTCTTCAATAGATATACTAAATATATTTCCCTGACAGAAAAAATCTGGACAATGGAGCATTGGTTATAATGTAAGATGACTGAATGACCATCCCTTATTTAGTAGATTTTTTTTCCTGCTTGGACCATGCCAGTGTGAAACGGGTGTGTGTGTGGGTGGGTGTATTAATTATACAACACACCTATACTAATTAGATCAGATTTAGTAAAAGATCGCTGTTTGTTGTGTGTGTGTATGTGCGTATCATGTTTTCATCTCATCATGTTCAGAAACTAACCTATAAACTAGATTTCTTTGTATTTTTAGCCCCACTCACTTTAAAGTCACAAACTATAAATCCAGAAGTATAGTAAAATGATAGTAGTGCCTAGGCCAGTGTTTCTCAACCTTGGCGATTTTAAGATTTTAAGACCTCAACGTGGCTGGCTAGGGGGGAATTCTGGGAGTTGAAGTCCATACATCTCAAGAGTTGCCAAAATTGACAAATACTGACCTAAACTACAATTAATCATCTCTCTCTTGCATTTATGGCTGTGTGATCTTATAGGTTAGGTCTATAAGGGAATCATTCACTGGCAGTCATTGTTTAGTATCATGATACCCCACTGTTCTGAATAATTTTTCAGAACCTGCTCCCCATCTGAAAACCTGTATTCTTGTGTATATGTGTACAAGCTTTCCTAACCCTGCCTTATTTGAGAATATGTGTATATACATTATAATTTTTGTAAAGCTACAAAACCTGTATTCTTTGTAGAAAAGCAGAATGCAACCATTTATCTGCACACCTGCATTCACACGAAGTGTCTGTGTTTGTGCCACTTGCATTCCATTGTACAGTAGCCAAAACCAAGATTTCCTTCCAATAAACAAAGATACATTTAGCTAATTGATGAATGTATAATAATCCGTCTTGTGCTTGTAAGGAACCCCTTTGATTGATGGGACTGTTGCGTGTACAAAAGAACTTTCTCTGCTTGCCTCTAATACATGTTCCCAAACTATTCTGGAGCAATTGATAACAGTCTGGAGCAGGAAAGGGTGAGGAAGGAAGAATCTATTCTGCCCAAAGAATGGCATCAACAGATATTTCTAAATCTAATTTGATGGTGTAATTGTGTGATAACATGTGCAAGCTTATTTCTCTCTTGAGATTTAAGGTAAACCTAGTGGTGGTATATCATCTTTGCCCCTGCCCCAAATTGATCCTTAGAGAAATAATAGTGATGCAGAACAGGGCTAATTTGCTGCATGTGTTCTTGTATACTCCACAAATACATCTCCAGTCTATTTCACTGCAGTAATAAATACAGCAAATGCTTCCTCATTCTTTCTTTGAACAATGGACATCTGGAAAATGTGTTCATTTATGTAGGCCAAGCTCAGTGAACTTGTGCTTTATGGAAATGGGCAACTTCTTGCAGTAGAAAGGCTAGTTCTGTCTCAATTTGGTAAGCAATGTCATGCAAGCTTTTGAATGTGGTATCACAAACATTTGTGTTTCTTTTAAAGGTGAACAAATCGGCATGAACTGCATCCTGATTTGTGCAACCCCTCATATGTCTTGTCTCCTTACTTAGTGGCTTTTGGTTGCTTGTTGGCACCAGGGAAATTGCTGCTAAGTTTGACATTGGCATATCTAATATTATCTATACTTCATATAGTACAATAATCCCATGTAAGCATTTCTCTAGTTCCCAGGCTGTTGATACACTTCTATTATCATTAATGATAAAGTAACAAAACACTTCCTTCAGAAGGCTAGGCGTCTTCAACTGGGCCCCTTGTATGTCTTGAGAGAAGTCAGGATGACTTATATTGGTTTTTTATGGATCCCCCCCAATTTCAATCTTTGCCATACTGCTATGGGCAAAATTGTATTGTTTCTGTATATTGTTGCAGATCAACTGGATTATTATACAAGTCATCAACTAACTGGTTTTATACTTGGTATTTTTACTCTTTCCCTACCCCTCCAAATTTACATACCAGCTCTTCTCCACTGTTTAAATTGAGAATGAATGGATCAGGGCAATTCTGTGAGCTTTATGGACAAGAAAAGTCTAGAACTTTGGCTCTCAAGATTCAATATTACACTGTTTTTTTAAATACAGTGCAATCCTCAGAAAGTACATGCTAGAGTAAATTGTGTTGACTTAGGTTCTTTTTACAAAATAAGTGAGTGCAGCTTTTTCTGTGGGTAGGAAAGGGTCAGCTAATATTAAATATCTGCTCCAACTGGGCACTTCCTATATCAAATGGCACGTAAGAGTATACATGCAGCTGGAGCTAAGGTTAAGACACGACAGATGTGAAAAATAATTGGACACTTCTCCTTAGTTATCACAGATAGTTTTGTTGCCAATATTGGAACTGTCATCCTTGCCTCCATCTTTAATTTTAATGTAATGGAATTGGGGAAACTGACCTTGAGACAGTCTTTGAACACTGAGAAGACGTGGTAGCTTCAGCAAATTCATTAGCAAACTGCCGTAATAGCAAAATGTGTCATGATATCATTGTATAAGTGGTGCAGTAATGTGATGATGTCACAATATCTGTGATATCTGTGAATAGCTAAGTCACAGCCTTTGTATTTGTATGATGATGTCGATGCGTCTGTCATTCTCTCTCCACCCAATCTACCCTGTGGATGCCCATGTATAACCTGCTAACAAAGGAATTCACATTTAATGTAAGTCTATCATGTATTATCAAAAATCCACATTCAGTAGGCCAAACTTCCTATATGTGCTTATTTGGTGCAGAATACATCAGTTGTTCTCATTTTTATGGAGATGATACAAAAGTTTTCATTCTGCATATACAGTTGGAAAGACAGTTCCCTTACATCCCTTCTTTGTTCCTGTACAGCCTCTTAGTACAAAATATTAAGACATGGTAGCAATCTCAATTTGGCCATAAGCATGTATCACTAGAGTCAGGGAGATCAGCCCTTTATCGGCCTTGTACAGGACATTCAAGAAGGTTGCATTATTAAACATACTGGAACTTATGCATGAGTATTCAAGGTGACACAGCTATAATTGCAGCAATGCTTCAACTGTTATCAGTAATTCTTGCTGATACTTGAATTCATTGTGTAAGGTTTTTCCCAACATCATAATTTGCTTTTTTACCTGAAAGAAAGACTCAAATTTCACTATTCAGTACTAAAAATGAGTTAGGGCAAGCTACTCTATATTCTTGGCTGGTTTTAAGTATTGCCCCTGTTCATAAAAATGGATAATGTTTCTCTCTTTAGTGACTAAAGTGTGAAAAAAGAAAGAGGGAAACTAGTGAAAGGATAAGAAACTCCTTCTCACCCCAAAATGCTACTTTTGTTGTATATTAAGATCTGGATGGTAGTTTTAGATGTGTGAGGACAATAAAATGTAATGATAAGAACTAGCGTCTAAAAACTAAAAGTATTTTAGTTTAGACAAATAAATGTACAAATGGGCAAATGTTAAGACCATACTTCTATCCAAAGTCTTGGCTCTGTCTATCATGCATTCTCCCATTCTTCTTATATCACTCCTTTCCACACACCCCGAACCATCTATTAAGATACCCACTTCATCTTCTCCACAACACAGAATCTCCCACACTCTTGCCAAGCAGTCTTTATTTTAGTCTGACTCCGACGTCATTTTAAATTATGACTGAATTGTAGTCCGGGATGAATGGGGAAAAAAAACATCGGCTGATGTAATCACTTAATATTTCTTCTGTTTCTTAATATAAATGTGGCCCAAAACATCTGGGATATGAAAGATAGTTCTTTTATAGTTTTCTGTTTCAATCTCAAAGCCATGCCTTGATTAGAAGCTGGCAGCTACAGTTCCATCATTATATCTCATTGTGCAGAATTGATAAGCGCTACGTAATGCAATTAAAATTGTCTAATCAGTTGCTAATTTTTCAATCATAGAAGTTTCCCAAGCTACCAAAAATGCAAGAGGACCCCTTTTGTGATATACCCATGACCTTCTTTGTAAATGTATTTGAGGTGATCTCCCACCCCCTCATATTTCTTATGTCTTTGCCTGTATTTATGGTTAAGGGAAGGCCCAAAGTAATCCTTGTAGATGGGAAATGCTAGTTGATTTAATCTGAATGTTTGCTATCTGCGTCTAGATTCATTGAAACAAAACAACAAAATCATTCAAAATGTAATCCACAGCAAAAATTGTTTCTTAAAAATGATGTAACATTACTAAAGAGTCTCCCCATTAATTTGAGTAGCCTATAATATTAATTGATTATTTCCCTTACTCAACAGGCACACTTATATGAACAACTTGAGATAGTCCTGGGCTATAACCCACCCAGTTCCGAGATATAGTCCAACACAATTGGAATAGTCCAACACAATTGGAAAGAACAAAGTTGGTAAATGCTAACTTAACATATGTTGGCCTATGCATAACAGAGATTAAGGTGTTTCCTTTCTTTCATTTTGAAGTCAGCTGTTGCAGACTATCTTTTGTCAAAGCAAATGTGAAATAACACCACTCTAAGTTAGAAAATAAATCTGAACCTTTTGAAATCTTCTGATATTGCCTATGCTTCTATGGACACTTTGTATGGGCTTCAGCTCAGCTCCTTAAAATGGCAAATAATTTTTCCTTTCCCATATAGTATTCTTTTATTTGAATTTTAAAATGCGTATAAATGCAATAATGCAGGTAGAGTAGAACTATTAGACTGAAAATTAAAGTAGTTTAGCTTGTCCCATTTGTGACCTACAGTGTTGTATGACACCCAACACTGTATCCTAGCATTCTCAAGGCTTTCCTACGTAGCTGAATCTAGTCTTAGCTTTGAAAATTCATTGTGTGAATGGTGGGGTGGGTTGACTGGGAACGTGTATGCTTTACACACCGTATGTTATTTGCATCAGAAGCTACATAGCCACTCCATTTTCTATGGAACTGTAAATGATTCCCAATATACCTGTAACTATTATCAGGATTGTGTGAAATAAACTATATATATCTATATAGATATACATGTATATTGTATAATTCCTACAGTTATCTTCATGTTTTATTTTCAGTATAACCCTTTTTTTAAAAAAAAAGAAAACTGTAATACATAGCTTTCTGAACACAGACCAAGAATGATTTATCAATTAGGGCAGTAACAGCAATCCTGGTGACCTAGTGGTGAAGACGCCTCCCATTCGGAAGGTTGAGAGTTCAATCCTAGGTAGCGGCAGATGTTTCTCTCCTAGGGCATAAAGAAAAAATATCTGCTGTGAACTCCTCAGGGCATCAGGAAGTAAACGTTCAGCTCCATTCAGTCACCCCAACTCTTTCCTGAATTAAGGGATTACAGGTTCATAAAAGGAAGCAATCCTGTTACTCAAAAAATTATAAATTAGACAAATGCACAATCAGAACTGATGTTTGTTTATAACTCTTATTTAAATTCAACAACAAACAGACCCTTAAGACAGGGAATTCAAGAAACAAAGTACAAAGTTCTGTAATAGGAATATTGCTCCAATTTAGGCTTGCATTACCTATACTTTTATTTTTCCCTGATACAATTTCAGGAAATAATACAGGGATAATGATAGTAAAGAGTAAAGATAAAGATAGTAAAGAGTAGAAGTACTTGAAGGGCTTGGAATTATATAGAACCATATTTAGAACAATGCTGCTGGCAATACATTTCCAAAGGGGTTATGATTCAGGAACAGAGGAAATTTAAGTCATTTTAAGGCACTATGTTGAGACTATGTTGCAGTTAGGGGAATACCTTTGAGATAATTTCCTGCTATATGGCACTTCTGTAAAATGTGTACCTCTATTTCTAGTTGGAAGGTAATATCTTCTTTACAAAATTGGTTAACTTGGGAATAGAAATTCAGTCTTCACCCCTAATCATCATCACTGATTTGTTGACAGCTCACTTTGGAACAAATGATTCCAAGCGCAGGTCTCCTGCTATGTATAAGAACCAAATTTTCGGTGCTCTTGAATTTTCTCATAATGCTTAGAAAGATTCATATGGTATCACGTCATGCTACTGAAAAACTGGTCTTTTGTAACAACCATGAAGGTGATATGGACTAAATTACTGTAAATGGGATGAGCTCAAAATCAAATATGTTTGGAATAAAACTTCGTGGAGATTAGGAAGTAGTGAACAGTTGTTGTTTTTCTCCATGGCAAACTAGATTTTGTTACAAATCCTAGATATGGTCATAAATGAGAAATCTGGGAAAAAACAAGTAGAGTTATGTGTTCAGCTTTTGTTCTATGTTATGCTAGGATAGTATACCATAATGTACTTTTTGACTTCCTTTAACATGTGAATCCACTCTAAGAAATAAATAATGAATCTGGAAGTATACAAAGATAGGGAAGTGTAGGCCTATGCTAAAGCATATTGTGTTCATAGTTAATCTGGATAGCAATTGTGAGTCAACAGCTGAGTAACAAGCATTAAGTCTAGATGTCAATTATGCCAACATAATATTGGTATAGTCTTTCTCTGAAAACACCTACATGTACCTCTGTTTTTGAAAACGGGGGATAATTTCTAGAAGTTTCAAGATAATACAGGTCTTCTAAAATATTTCAGGATGATAGTTGTAGGCATGAGAAATATGGTCTTGGAAAATCAAACCAAAGAAGAAGGAAATTAGAATTGGAGTTTGCATTCTTAATTGGAGGCAAATTAAGTCGAATAACCTTGCATAAAGGTCATGGAATTCCTAAGCAGCTATACAATTTAAGGTCTTTTTCATGATGTTACTCTGTTTTTTCCCTTCTTGACTAAATTCCCAATTTATCCCTATTTTCTGAAAGGTGACTACCATAACAAGTTATTTAAATTACATCTGTTTATGACAAATGCTGAATTAATTTGCAGTGCTTGAAAGAGATCCTTCTGTTTTACATTAACTATATAAACAAGGTTTTTAGCATGCATACCCGTGTTTCCCTGAAAATAAGAGCCTGTCTTATATTTTTTTGAAAACTCTGAAATAAGTGCTTGGCCTTATTGCCATGTGCTCAAAAGCTCGATTGGGCTTATTATCAGGGGATGTCTTATTTTGGGGGAAACAGGGTAGTATATTGAAATTGTGACCCAGAAAAGGAAAGTAAGTAATAGAAACAATACAATAATTTTAACTATGTATATGAATGACACAAATATGTAAAACTGACTTAATGTAAAGTAGGTCCCCTGTATAGTTTTCTATTTCTTTAAAATTGACTACAACTACATCAAATAAAAAAACATTTTGTAGCGAGTATCTATACCAGGTAACATGTATATCAGGATAGAATAGAATAGAATAGAATAGAATAGAATAGAATAGAATAGAATAGAATAGAATAGAATAGAATAGAATAGAATAGAATAGAATAGAATAGAATTCTTTATTGGCCAAGTGTGATTGGACACACAAGGAATTTGTCTTCGGTGCATATGCTCTCAGTGTACATAAAAAAAAATACATTCATCAAGAATCATAAGATATATAGCAAGATGTCTTACCATCTAAAGTAACAAGCAGTTTGTGAGAGAACTTTTAAAAAGCACCTCTTTTTGAATGATTAAAGCAGCCACATCTTTTCTGACTTCTGAAAGATTTGCACAGCCACACAGTTTTTACAAACGAAAAAGTATCTACCTATAATAGCACCTAATGTATTTCCACTTGCAAGAAAAGAACAAGAATAAATATAGGAAAAATTGTTCTCCAAATCCTAAAAATAACCTGTGCTATCTACACATGGTTGAAAGAACGTATTGTCCAACACCTCTCCTGGACAGTTAAAATAATTAAAAGTACAGTCTTATATAAATAGGATAGAATTGAATGGATGAATGAACACAATATTGCAACTTTATACACGATTAATATATCATATTGTACTTTTCCTACCTGTGCATAAAAATAATACATGTAAATCTGACAATTTAAATAAATCTACCTGAAGAGGTGTATTGGTCTAGGGCAGTGATGGCAAACCTTTTAGGCACCAAGTGTGCCCAAACTGCATGCATGTGCATGCCCAAATTGAAAGGTGTGCACGCGAGAGAGAATGTGTGCATATATGGACATGCACACAAGCTCAGCACAGACTCGAAGATCAGCTGGCCAGTGGGAAGTAGGGGATCCCAACACTGACAGCGTGGCAAGAGGTAAGATCTTTTTCTTTCGTGAGCTTGTGTTTCATCATTTTCAGGGAAACAGAAGCTCATGAAAGAAATGCCACGGAGATCTGACCTGGAGCGACGGTGAGTGTGCCAGCAGAGAGGGCTCTGCGTGCCACCTCTGGCAAAATAAAGTTAGGTAAAGGTTTGCCATCATGGGTCTAGGTCTAGGACAGTTAAAACAATGAATTGCAATGAGTCATTTTGTTCGCAAGTGATTAACACAAAAGTTGGTCATCCAGTGTTAAAAAAATCCCAGTTTAAGACATAGTTTGGCAACTAATAGTGTTGTGGCTGGAGAATTACGTGATAATTCTATGCAGGGTTATTGTTGTTTTTACTCTAACCAAATGGCTTGGGACTTACTCCCATGTAAGTGTACATAGGACTGTGTCCCCAGATGAAAAAAAACAGGCTGTATTTGTCTAGGAAAATATACCTTGCAGACATGCAGCAATTTTCCATTCCCCATAATTTAAAATAAATTATTCAAGGGGGAAAAAAAAAAAAGGAAAATCAGTGTTTTTTTTAATCTTGTGTTTGCATGCCAGGTAACATGCTGCATCAAAAAAGCCATAGCAGTAATAAAACTACGTTATAATGAATTTGGCTAAGTGAGTTTCAAGATGAGTATATCGGTTTTGAAAAATAAATTTAACATGATGCCTAAGTCAATGAGAGGTGCTTCACAAAAAAATATCCTCAAAACATTAAAAATCTGTGTCCTTTGGACAGCTCCCTTTAATAGCTTTCCTAGGTATCTATATGCAATTGTATGCTAGGCTAAAGGGATGCAGTTGTGCATGGATGCACAGATGGCTTTTCAAAGCAAACGCTTTGCAGAACTCTATCATTTAACCCTTTCCTAGGGACCATCAAATCACAGGCATTTAATTTCTATGAATCATATACAGGAGAGAATGTGTAAATAGAGCACTGTAAACAGTTAAAGAATTTAAGTATAAAACAGTTAAAAATCCTGTTGTCTCACATTATCTAAATGCCTTCCTCTTGTTCCTTTAAAAGCAATGGTAAAGGTTTTAGGACAGGGATTGTTCTCTTCTTTGAAACACTGTTTCTTTTCTAAAGGTAATAGAGGAAATATAGGGAGAGGTATGCAATTATTTCAACATTTATTTCTATATAGCCAGTTTGGCCTTTCATTTTTTGTGGGGAGGGCAGTTAAAGACAGGATTGTACTATAAATCATTTGACTTTGAGGTACCCAAGTGAAAAATTACTAGTATAAGCAGTAGTCCTTGCACCATGAAATCAGCATGCATTCTAGAAGTACAGAAACATATTCCTGATGGGAACTACGAACATCTTTAAGGCTATATAAAGAGCCATGGAGCTCCTATCTTCTATTGTTTTATTAAATGTAGTTTCAGTTACTTTGTGTGATATTATCCACCTCGAAGATAAACATTGCACTTCACTCTTTCATTGATTAGATTTTAAAACTTCTAGTTTTAGACAATATTTTTTACCATTTGATTATAACATACTACAATAAATGTCCGTTTTTCTGGACTGTAAGAGGTTTCTTCACCAATCCAGATTACAACTCATGTCTCATGCTGGAGGATGAGATTTTAAAAAGTCCTCTTTCCAGAATATTTTAGGCATGTGATTATATTGGCCCTTATACATAAAGTACCAAATTTCAGCCAAGGCAGTTGGCTGACAGGTATGGACTGACAAATGGCATTTATTTGCCCAAGTCAAGAGGCAGAACATCCAAAGCACTTGAGATGGAAAATACCACAAGTGCGTGCCTCTCTGGGAATACAACAGAATTTAAATCAATCAATAAATGCTGCCCCTAATAATTATACCTAGATCAGTTCCCGTTATGAGAGGGATGGCGCTGTGATAAAAGCCACTTACAATACAGTTTTCAAAGACTTTCTGCTGATGAAAGACTAGAATGGAGGTACAATTCCTGTTCTTTAATCCAGTTTCAGAAAAAAAAATAATCACAACCTGTTCTTAATACATAAATCTTTAAAGTGAATAAATGGGGATAGCCTCATCTTAAGAGCAGTTGTAGAAACAAAGTACAAAGCAGCCCAAACTCAAAAAATTAAAAGAGGTAATTGTTCAACTTGCTAGCGGGTGATAGCTGAACCAGATTTGTTTTGATCTTGTAGAGAAATCAGATTGCATTGAATTCCATGGTTGCAATGTAGACTTTTTGATCCGCAGAATAGATGGCTTCAATAATGTGGTTAGCGTCATGGGCCAGGCTCTGAACCTAAGAGTCTAAAGCTGAAGAAACTGTTCCAGATGAACCTATGGAATATCAGCTTCTGGAAGGACAAAGCCAGAGATCTGAGGCTGATCAATCACAACCCTGAGCAGCTGGATCTATCTGAGGAAGATGACCTAAGGCCTCCCAATCCCTGCACCCGGACCATCTAGAAAGGAGACTGGAACAGAGGAAATCTATTAGATTACTTGCCAGTAAACATTCTGATTAGAGACAGTTCATGTCCTTGAAATTGGCTAAAAAAAGGCATAATAAAAATATAACAGCAGCAGCAGCAGCAGCAGCAAAATACCATGCCAACCAAATGGCCTCATGTGGATATTAGGCCAGCCAAATTAATGTGTGGTGCCAAGCAGGCTATTATAGAGACATTTTATCTCCTTCAAGAAAAGAAAAAAAACATCCACGATAAAGTACCATTTTCTCATATCATCCTCTTTACCAAAACAAAGACCCAATGGCGCCAACTAGTATTCTTCTACTTTATTTTTTTCTTAAATTATTGCAAATAATATGAATGATTAGGAATGGGGTTGCCTTTCAGCTCATACTTAAATATGGCATAGTAGTTTCAGGATTTTATAGAAGTTTCCATTAGAGCAGAATATTCATAGTACAGAAAGATAGTGCATAGTTTTTTCCACACAAAGAATAAATTGTGACTATATCATTATGATTTACATACCTGATCCAAGAAAACCAGAGATGCCCTTTGCAATCTCTGCCCCTTCAAGATTCTAATCTGGATAGGGCGAATGTTTTATGAACCCAAAGCTACTACAGCTTTAATCTACAGAGATTAGCGAGTCTACTTTATATTCTGTCTTCATCTCCCAGATTCAGGTGCGCCACACCTGTCCTTTATACAACCCGGAGCATTCCAAGAATTCCGTACATTATCAATAACATAATTTGAGAGACTGAGATTGCCCTAGGAAAGTTGCTACAAGACTCTAATCCATTTCTTTTGCTATAAAACAGCCCTTACTGTTATGGAGAGAGAAAAAGGTGTGTATTTTTTTACTTCCAAGGAACAAGAGGAGCAAGCAGCAACTGCTGAATGGAAAATAGTGGCATTCCTAGCAATGCAGAAAACACTAAAAATTTAATGACAAATTTTCAATGTCGATTCCCCAGTAAAAAATAAATAAATAAACACCATTTTTTTAGTTATCTTTCAAAAAGAGGGCTCTGAAAATATCTACAGACCCCTCACATCCTGGACATAAATTGTTTCAACTTCTACCCTCAAAACGACGCTATAGGGCACTGCACACCAAAACAACTAGACACAAGGACAAGTTTTTCCCCATAAAGCCATCACTCTGCTAAATAACTAATCCCCACAACACTGTCAAATTATATACTAAGACTGTATTACTATTAGTCTTCTCATCCTTCCTAGTACCTATCTCTTCCTACTTATGGCTATATCCATGTTAGTTGTATCTTTACAATTTATATAGTTTTGTTTCTTTATTAGTTTTGTTTTGATTGCTTATTAGTAACCTATGACTATCACTAGCCATAGTGTTGTGTTGTATCTTACAATTTTTGATTAATGTATTTTATTTTTCTTTTACGTACACTGGGAGCATATGTACCAAAGACAAATTCCTTGTGTGTCCAATCACCCTTGGCCAATAAAGAATTCTATTCTATTCTATTCTATTCTATTCTATTCTATTCTATTCTATTCTATTCTATTCTATTCTATTCTATTCAAAATGAGCTTTGGGGAAGGAAAAAAAACAATAATACAATAGTAACAATGTGTGCATTTTATTTTAGAGGCTTTCTGGCTACAAGGCTTCAAGGCTGGCATCAGATTAGAAAAAGGGGGCCAAACCCAGCCCACCAGAGAAAGCAGCCGCGGAAGGCGATCCGCCCCTCTCTTCCACCCGGTCGCCCTCTTCAGAGGGAGGCCGACTCAAGGGCGCTTGCGCAAGGCGAAAGCTGGGCGGGCTGGTGGGCGGAAAGCGCGGCGAGGTTCTTCCTTCCCAGCCGCGAAGCCCAGGAGGGGAGCCGCCCGCTTCCCTTTTCTCCGGGAAGCTCCCGCCGCCGCCAGCATGTCGGAGAGGCTCAGCAAGCCGACGTGCCTGATTGTGGCCAGCGCCGCTGCTGCAGGTGAGGCCTGTGGCTCTGGCCGTCCCCGCCCTCCTCTTCGGCTCTTCCGGGTGAAGACGGCAAATCTGAGCAATGAACGGAAAGGCGAAGCGGGGAGGGGTGTTGAGAGAATCGCCCCTGAAAAGGCGTCTATTGTCAGGGGCAACAGCCCCTTTCCCGGTGGGGGGTGGCTCTTCCGACCTTTAATACTCCGCTATGCGCATGGCAGATTCCCACGCAGCCGGACGTAGGAGATTGGAGAAGGCTATTCCCTGCAACTTGATCGATACAGTAATTGCAGGAGGAGTTTATCTGGCTGCGTCGGAGTGATGGGTCCTTATAAACTGCTTCAAGTGGAGTTCAGCTTCTCTTTTTACATGGGCTGATCCGTCTAATGTCCCTGACAGCAGGCGCGGAAGTTATATGCAGCTCTTTTCTCCTGTCCTGGACGACATGTCTAATGTAGCCTTCAGCCCTGAGATTTCTTGGTGGTCTCCCATCCACATATCAACCTGGCCTTTTCTTTCTCTTTTTTTTAATCAGCCAACGTCAAGTCGGGCTGCATCTAGTTAAGTGTTTATTGCATTTTATGTGTGCATAATCATCATTCGATAGTTGCCCTGCTGTAATTTCTAGGTAGTATTAACATATTCTTACGGTCTCATAAACACGTTGGGTTTCAGCTCCTATAAGCCCCAGATAAGGTTTCTGTTTTCTGCCTGCAAAAACATAGAAATTACAGTTCTGTTGGGCTGTTCATTGAGGCTTATTAGTGCTCTTGGTTGAATCTTCTATTTTACATTATTTTTAAAATATACTACCCTTTAGCAATAGCAATAGGACTTAGATTTATATACTGCTTTATAGTGCTTTACAGCCCCCTCTAAGTGGTTTACAGAGTCAGCATATTGCCTCCAACAATTTGGGTCCTTATTTTACCCACCTCGGAAGGATGGAAGGCTGAGTCAACCTTGAGCCTGGTGGGATTTGAACTGCCAAATTGCAGGCAGTCAGCAGAAGTAGCCTGCAGTATTGCACTCTAACCACTGCGCCAGGAGCTTACCTAGCAGCCTTGAAAGATAAAAGGTAGTCTTCAATATAAATGTCCCCATGATATTCCACAGCTTCATCTCTTCACCACATTGCCTTAGGGTTGTTTTCTGAAGTTGGCTAGCCCTTAGCAAGTTTTGGCTAGCCTGTTTTTGTATGTTCAAGACCAACATGAAAATTATTAAGTCTCTATTTTTTTACTTTGAGGAATGTGAAGGCTATCAAGTTTGCATGTTTAGTAAGAATAATCAATGAATGATAAAGCTCCCATATTTGTGTTACAAAAAGCCAGATGACTTTTTCAGTATGTCTCTGCTGCTATCTAGGTCACATCCAGATTTTATTCCCCTAGATATGCAGCCATACCAATGTTTTTTTTTCCATATAGAAGCTCCCACTACACATATAATATGTTTATATCTGTCCACCAGGTGTATCAGCTGACTCCTTCTTCCACTCTTTTACATTGACAAGCTCTGCTTTTAATCTACAAGTTGCTACCCCAGGGGTAAGTAAATGTAAGTGTTCCATATTAGTTTTATTAAGTAGGTGATGAAATAGCTTCTTCCTCAGGCAAGATGGTTAAAAAAAGAGGAAGGAAATAGCTGTTACAGGAAATGATGGCCTTCAGTAATGGGTTTAGAATGGAATGTAATCTGAAGTTGCAGTGTTCCAAACTAGGCACCTACAGGTAACGTTGACCTGCTATTAGTGAAGTAGTGGAAACTAAATTTTATCCACCATTATTTTTTTATATTTATTTTTCTCTTTTGTTTCCATATGCAATTTCCTAGATCTCAAAATGCAGGCATTGGTAAATGCATTGTTTTATTAAAAAGCAACTAAATCCAGCTAAGCTCTTTAAGAAGAGTGCATAAGTTGTAAATGTACAATATTTTTGGAGGTCTTTGTGTGTATTGGCCAGTATTTCCATTTTGGATCATGAAAAATGACGTCTTCATTTAGTACCAATAACAGTTTTTTTACTTCATGGAAACAGGCTATGTTTTTCCCCAAAATATTTTTTGTTTCACTAAATGTTTATCTCAAAGGCTTATATGTATATGCATTAATTGGGCTTTACTGTTTTAGGGGAAGCCAATTGATTTTGTTGGGGTTAATGAAGCAAACATGCGTTGGATCCAGGATTTCCGTATGAAATCCTACGCAAATCCAGCCAAATTGGAATCAACTGATGGTGAGATATTTTTTTGACTTGTGATTGATGTATCTCCCTTTGTTACCTACACATTAATAGTCTTTTCAATATCTGGATACCTTTCTATCACATATTGCATTTTAAAATAAAGATCATTTAAATTGATAATCAAGTTGCTTTGAAGCTATTATTGTTCCATTTGTATTTTTAGGAGGAAAAGATAAAGTTTGCTCTCAAACTTGATTGTTTTTATAGTTCAGACCCAATAAAAGCCATGGTTTTGTTTTTCCCCTTGTCATAATTTAGGAGTTTCTTTTCACCTTTATCTAACCAAACTTACTTAATGGTTTCTTTAAATTATTATAATTGAGAGCAATTTATAATCAAACTAGTTTCAAATTCTGTTTTGTTTTCAAAACAGGTAAGTACAGATTCAAGACATTAGGCAGTAGTGATGTTGGGATGGGTATAATTATTATATTTTTAAAGGATGACTAATATTTGTGCAGTGTTCCCTTTGCTTGTTTCCTCCCTGCCTTTCTCACAGATAGCTACATTTATCCCAAAGGGCACTGAGCTTTTAGGGGCAAATTAGTTTGTTCTGATAGCAGAAAAGTTGGGCAGATTGAATATACCCCTGGGATACATTGATCTTGTCCTGGACTTGAACATTGTTTGGGAATACTGAATGGGTTGCAGAAATTATTAGCAGACAAACTTTTTATTTTAGTTAAATTTAATTTAAAAATGGATTTATAATTTTTTATGCAATGGGACCTTCATATATTGCTATTAAAAGTTAGTTGAGCAAATAAAACATTAGGAAATGCTTTAGGAGAGCACTGTCCACTAGTCTTTTAAGTCATCGCTGCCTCTCTGGTTTTGAATAATAGAACTCAGGCTTTACCTGTGTTTCCTACCTAGGTGCAAGATACCATGCTTTGTTGATCCCTGACTGTCCTGGTGCTTTGACAGATCTAGCAAACAGTGGCTACCTGGCTAGAATATTGCAGCATTTCAGTTCGGAGAACAGTAGGTAAACTTCCTTGGTGTTTTACGTGCTATTGTGTACATCAAGACATCATAGATCAGAAAGGGTGTTGCAAAAAGTGGTGATTAATGTATAAGATACACATACCATATTACCTTAATATTTCTTCTACTTTACTCTAATCCTTAAAAAGATTTTGGACAGTATATCAGATACACAATGTGCTCAATAATTGTTAGGAATGCATCAACATTGCATTTATACAGCATGTATAAAGACCCATTTCAAAATTCATAAAACTGAAGATTTTATATAAAGGTTTATTTTTTTAATAGAGCCTATTTGTGCTGTTGGAAATGGAGTTGCTGCCTTATGTTGTGCCACGAATGAAGACAAATCCTGGGTGTTTCAAGAATACAGCTTAACGGGGGTAGGTATTGTATGCTGAAGGAACAGTGCATTTTTCACGCTAGATAGCTCTTTTGAAGTTTCAGTAGAAACCTATGTGATATAAAGTTAAGTCTCTTTGAATGAAACTTTATTTCCTATAATTTCACAGACTTACCTATACAGTATCTGTGTTTCTATTATTATTGGTTAATCTTTAGTGAGATTCACAGCCTTTGAGGCTGGTTAATAGCTCAGCAGCTCGAGTCCTAACCAAGGACCTAGGAACTGTTGTTGTTGTTGTTGTTATTGTTGTTGTTGTTGTTGTTGTTGTTGTTGTTGTTGTTATTATTATTATTATTATTATTATTATTATTATTATTATTATTATTATTATTATTATATTTGCTTTTCAATGTCCTGGTTTAACTTACAACAATGGTCTCCCATCTGGTCTAATCCTGCTACATTTTTGGAAATGGATCAAGATTGCCCAGGTACTGCTAAAAATCCAGGCAGTATGATGTAGTTTTTCATATGTGGCTGAATTTCTCATATTACAGCCACAGATCTTCCTTAAGATTGATGTTTTTATTTTTCTGAAGCAGATCTTCTTTACTTGCATTTAATTTTATGACCAGAAAAAGAGTATATTTGCTTTTTAAAAAAACCTTTGAAATCTAGTTTTATATCCAAGAGATTCTCAAAGTACTTTAGTAAGCTCAAGATAATCACATGCAGAGAGTATAAATACAGTTATAGCTACAATGAAACTGAATTAGTAATCGCTACAGGAATCATTTGCAACGGTAATGCATTTAATTCTGTATTTCATATAAAGTGATCCTACTGTATTCTCTTGATTAGGAACTGCTTTGCTGAATTATGTGAAGTTCTACTTAGTTCTATAACCAAAACATAAATCTTCCTGCATAGGTTTCACTATAATACAGTGTAAAAATATTACTTATATTGTTGTGTTTCTTCCAGCCTTCTGTCTATGAACTTGTAAGACTTCCTAGTTTTGCCAGCTTACCCATTATTGTTGAAGACTTTTCAAAAGATTCTGGAGCTACTTTTAGTGGTATGCCATTTTAATATTTTTTGTTAACATAGATTTTTATTAATACTTGTTAAAATCAGTATGTATTTAGAATTACTAAATTATTTTCTGAACACATTAAAGTAGAAAGTATGGTGTGGTAATAATTTATAGGAATTTAAAATATGGATGAATAGGATTTCTTTTTACATACCTTGTGATCTTAAGAATAAAGTACAGTGAGACAATTGTGGTTTTCTCAAGTCTGTAGAAACTATTTTGACCTGGTTGCCCGCTAGATTAATAGCATCAAATTTGCAGCACCATGCTCATAGCAATGAATAGTTACACCAGTCTCTCCACCCTACAATTAAAAAGCTTTAATGAATAGAATAGAATTCTTTATTGGCCAAGTGTGATTGGACACAAGGAATTTGTCTTACACTCTCAGTGTACATAAAAGAAAAGATACATTTGTCAAGAATCATAAGGTACAACACTTAATGATAGTCATAGGGAAACAGTCAATATAAATCTTAAGGATACCAGCAACAAGGTTACAGTCATACAGACGTAAGTGGGAGGAGATGGGTGATAGGAACGATGAGAAGATTAATAGTAATGCAGACTTAGTAACTAGTTTGACAGTGTTGAGAGAATTATTTGTTTAGCAGAGTGATGGCGTTTGGGGGAAAAACTGTTCTTGTGTCTAGTTGTTTTGGTGTGCAGTGCTCTATAGCGTCATTTTGAGGATAGGAGTTGAAACAGTTTATGTCCAGGATGTGAGGGGTCTGTAAATATTTTCACAGTCCTCTTTTTGACTTGTGCATTATACAGGTCCTCAATGGAAGGCAGGTTGGTAGTAATTGTTTTTTCTGCAGTTCAGTAAAAAGCTTTATTTAAGAGATGCATTTTTACTAAATTAGGAAACTAACTTCTAGTTTAATGGGACCCACTACTTTAATGGGACCCACTTTAAACAGTGCTGTTGCTGATTAATAGCAGAGTGTTGCAATGTAATAATTTCAGAATAAAGATCACACTAGCATCAACTGGGGGCCGCTTGCTTTCCTGATGCTGGAGTGTAATAGAATGGCAATGTGTTGTAGAATGGTAATCTGCAGTAAGAATTGCATAGCTACTCTTGAACTAGGCATTAGTCTTACAGTCTCCTCTCTATCAGAGGTAACGTATGGCTTCATGCCTCATTGCAGAGCCCTGTCCTGGAACAGATCTGTACTTCATTTTTTTTTATTAGCCTAAAGATTATCAGGGGTGATACTCTATTCTATCAAATAGTGTGTGAGGTACAAACCACACAAAATAAAGTGGAGAGTTTCATGCACATTTTAAGCATGAAATCCTGGTTTAGATAATACTGTATATGAAATGAACTGCAACATGTGATGGTCATTCACCTTTTCCTTCTTTACTTGCAAGAGGAGATGATATCTAACCAGGAAATTGACTTTTCCTCCTTTTTCATTATATTGAGAAAGCACAAGATTTACCTTGGCTCAGCCTTATCCCTTTTAACCTTCTAAAGACCTTTTAGAAGGCTGTTAAACATGAATACCTACATCTTACTAATGCAGGATTCAAGTATGAATTTCACACAAAGAAATTCATTTATTTCTTGCAAAGAAAGAAAAGTAAGCATTCCTTATTAATGTTTTAAAAATAGGTAACATTTTTCTTAGGTTTTTGAAAAATGATATATTGTTACAAGTGTAAATTAAGATGTGAATATATATATTTCCACCGCAGCCAGCAAGGTAGATGCAGTTCATGTCGTGCTTGACAGACACCTTGTCACTGGACAAAATGAAAATTCTACTATTGCAGCTGTGCAGAATCTTATTTTTCTCTGCAATGGCAGGTAAGAAAAGACAGATGACATTACTAGTAAAATACAGAATTTTTGCAAATGCATCTGCATTACTGTAACCAGCTTTAGTAATTTGTGCCAGCATTCTCCACCCCCACCCTGAAATTGGTCAATTTGAAGTTGTTGCTAGAATAAGAGATAGTATTATTAAGCACTTTATTCCTTAAATGTATCATATGGAAATATCTCTATAGTAATTAACTCGATGTAATGGTTCTTTTAGCAGAAAATGACGGAAACATCCCTGTGACTGAGCAGAATAAATGAACACGGAAGAGTTAATTTGACTTGTGAACATTGCTAATCTTTCATTTATCAACCAATAGAAAAGAACACAGCTGATTTCTAAAGTTGGTATTTTGTAGCTCATGAACAAGCAAATATTAATTCATATAGTAAGGCCTGCCTGTTATCAGATGTACCAGTATTCATAGATTTTCATAGTTTGTATGAGTCTAAGAATATTTCTCCCTACCCTCCCACTTTCATAAACTAAGGATAAATTGATTTGAAAGATTTCAGTCACAATTCCATGTTTCTGAACTTCCATCAACTGTAATGTGTTTAAATCTTTTCTTCTTAGGTACATTTCCCATTATGCCTGATCTGGCCAAAACCAGTGTAAGATCTGGGCTGAGTAAGTGATCTGATAAGTCAAGGGTGAATCATATGTTATCATTTCAGATTGTGAATTAAGTTTCAAGCTGTAGGACTATATAGTGACTTTTTCTCTCTCATATAGGAATATATAGTATATTGTAAAGGTTACAGTGAAAGTTATTAATGATATTACTAGTAACAGAAGTTGTGAACTTCAAGAAAAGGAACGATTTAACTGTAAAAATATTTAATTTTAAAATGGGACAGGTTAAATTTATTTCGTAAGAGTTGGTTAGTATTTTCCATGTGTTCATTTGTTGTAGCATGATAATAGTGGTTCATTTATTTTGCCTACTATAGAAAGCTTTTGATTTTGATTAAATTCGGGTTTTATTTGCTTAGCGATTAGCCATATTTGTGTATATAATTTTTTCATTTTATTCTTGAAATAAATCATTGTCAATATGAAAGCTTCATACTAAGCTTATTAACTATATCCAAGTTGTAGGTTGTGGATCTTATTTGTTAATCATAGAAATAGTACCCTACTTGCATAGATTATATACAGCATAATTTTGACTCAAGACTGAAGAAGTACTTAGGGTTTTCCTGCAAACTAGAGTTTGCGAATCAAGGTTTAGATTCATATAATAGACTAAATAACATGCTAGGCAACCCCTGTAGTCTAGGCAAATCTATTCCATATCTTATGATTGTATAAACTCAGACAATTTAGTTGGGTAACACAGACAGTCATAGAGTAGTTTTACTGTAGCAAAGGACCAGAGGAAGAATGCATTCCATTAGGTTTTTTTTTTAAAAAAAGCAGACTACCTTCTCCAGTGCATTTGCATCCAACGCCAAAAGAAAAGCAACTTTTCCAGAATTACAAAACCTAAAAACTTTCATTAGTACTTGAGCTCTGGTTTTTTTTAGATTCCAATACTCCACCAATAAGAAAAGAAGATGTAGCCAAGGTGGGCTCCTTCGCTTAACAATGATGTTACTTAGGTAATGAAACATCTGCAAGCAAACAGCCACATTGAGAGTACCAAAGACTCCACTGTATAATAGCCAAGGCTTGCATTCTGTAGAAATTGCTCTATTGTTGTCAAGTAGACAGTTTATGAGGGGAAAAACAAGTTAGAAACAAATTACTGATCTATTATTCCCAGGCTGCTATCAGTAGTACTTTAAAGCTACTACAGAACACCTCTTCCTTGCATAAAAGAATATTGTCAGTTAATAAAACAGCAGTATAAAAATATATGGGCACAATCTACACTCAGATTATGATGGAAAAATAGAAGTGCTTAATGAAATACATGAATACTTTCTTGATTCGTGCTCCCATTAGATACAGCCACTATACTTGTCCCAAATGTGCTCCCCCCCCCAAAAGCAACTGGACTTTGTTTTTCCATGTAAACATTTCGCTTCTCATCTAAGAAGCTGTTTTAGTTCTGACTGAATGGTGGGGAATGAAAGGATTTAGAGTCCTTGGAGTCATTTGGTCGTCATCTTGTCACCACTACCCTATTTCCCCACAAATAAGACATCCCCTGATAATGAGCCCAATCGGGCTTTTGAGCGCATGGCAATAAGGCCAAGTGGTTATTTCAGGGTTCAAAAAAACTATAAGACAGGGTCTTTCGGGGAAACACGGTATATTTTTAAATCAGAACTATGCCAAACTGGGATCTCATCCCCAGTATTGCACTTAGAATTCCTGTACTATATCTGATAGGATTCAGTCCAAAGAAATAATGTAGTATTAATGGCCTTTTGAAAAGCACTTTGCTACCGTTTGAAACTCACATTTAAAAGTCTACAAAAATGATGTTGAGACTTTAGAAAAGGTTCAGAGAAGAGCACCTAAAATGATCAAAGGCCTGGAGACTAAAACATATGAACGGCTGCAGGATTTGGGTTTGGTTAGTCTAAAGAAAAGAAGAATTAGGAGTGACATGATAGCAGTATTCCAGTATTTGAGGGACTGCCATAAAGAAGAGGGGGTCAAATTATTCTCCAAATCATCAGAGGGCAGGACAAGAAACAATGGTTGGAAACTAATCAAAGAGTTTCCATGCAACCTGGAATTAAGAAGAAACTTCCTAACAGTGAGGACAATTAACCAATAGAATAGCTTGCCTTCAGAAATCATGGACGCTCCATCACTGGATGTTTTTAAGAAGAGAGTGGACAGTCACTTGTCTGAATTGGTATACTATAGGTTCTCCTGCCTGAGCAGGGGGATGGACTAGATGACCTACAAGATCCCTTTCAGCTCATTCTATTAAGACAAAATGGGGGGGGAGGGACTGAAGGTGTTCAATGCAGCTGCAACAATGCCTCAGATTTTGAGAAAAGACAGTATTGCTTTAAAGTTTAGGCATGTGGGCAAACATCAGACAGGATGACCTAGGCCAAAATATCACTAAGTATTAAAATCCTAGTTGCTCTATCCTGGGGAGAGGGAGCAGCACAGTGGCAACATCAGCTGGGGAATGAGACTGCATCAGGGGTGAAATCTACTTACCTTCCATACCGGTTCAGAAGTGCACGCTCTGCACACATCACGTGCAATTTTTGGACCCTCTGTGCATGCACAAAGCCTTCTGCGCATGCGCAGAGGGTTAAAACAGTTTACTTCCTGGTTAAAACCAGGAAGTAACGACGTCCGGGAGCGTGGGCAGAGCTTCGTGCTGCTGCTGCTACCAGTTTACCAAACCATGTGCTGCCGCCGCTACCAGTTCACCTGAACCAGTGCGAACGGGTAGTATTTCACTTCTGGACTGCATTATAATTTAGATTTACCATACTTTTCAGAATACAAGACGTATTCCAGGAGGCCGTTCCAACCACCAATCAGCTGCTCATGCTGAATCAGGCTGTGATAACGTGCTGAAACTGACCAGGCTGTTTGCTGTAAGGTTGCTAGCCAGGTGAATACCAATGGATGCTGGCAGGCAGAGGCAGAATTTTTTCTTCCTTGTTTTCCTCCCCAAAAACTAAGGTGTGTCTTTATTCTCCAGAGTGTCTTATACTCCGAAAAATACGGTATATCCCATCTTTTGTTTGTACAATTCAAGCTTGTACATAATCTTTCTTCCTCCTTTTTTCCCACAACAATAACCCTGTGAGACATCATTCATTCTACAAGAACAGTAGGGAAGCTGCTCATAATTCTAAGAATGGAATGTTTATAAAACACACTTGTTCAAATCTTACAGTGATTTTGTTTGTAGAAATAGCATGTATACATCCTTCAAACGGAGGACTTGCCTCAATAGGAGTCAACAAAGCTGTATAAAATGTAGTACATTTTATTCTTTTGGAATGCACTCATACATCACAATGTTTTATCATTATTAGTAATAGTAGTACCTTGAAGAAAAAAAGCAAGGCAATTGGTCCTTTATGCATCTGCAATATAGTGAAGAATAAAAATATTGGTAATTGTAATATTACAATCCTGATATATAAAAGCACAGCAGACCTGAAGAATCTTTTCTCTGCAAATTCATACAGAAATCTCTGAATGCAGAAAATCTTTTCGTATGCAGCATGTAAATCTTTACATCTATAAATGGGTAACATCCATAAAATTTGCCATGTCTACTTTCCATTTGCAGTACCAAACATCCGTTCCTAAAAAAGGAGAAAAAATATATAAAAATAATAGGCACATTAGCTGCAGACATTTTAAGAAACCATTGCTATTTAATGTACAAGAAGAGATTGGCAGATAGGATTTCACCTATTTAAGGCTAATGCAGAACATGCAGTAGAACTGAAAACCAGAAAATAGCTTGCAAGTTATATACAGTTTAGCATATATCAATTTTTATACCTGCATGTTTAAATTTCAAATTAAAAGGTTATAAATAGCAGAGTTATTAATACAGGAAAAGGAGAAACCAATTTCATTTTGATTATTTTGAGTCAAGAGAGGAGCATTTAAGATTAAAAAAAAACATTCAATGTTGAAAATCCATGTGCTAGCTTTGAATGTTGCATGTGAACATCTACTGGTCCAACCTTAATATAAACGTTTGGAAAAATATCTAATTTATAAACTTCAGCTTTGTTAAGATATTTAAATTTAGGAAGTTTAACTTGTCAAAAATATTTCAGATTTATAAAAGAAAAGCACAGTAGTATAACCTAGGATCTGCCATCCAAGAATTTACAGTGATTTTTAAACTGCATTTAATTCTATGTGGAAAATAAATAAAATCCATAATAATAAATGGATTATGGGATCAACATCCTAATTACAAAATAATGTACTTATAATTTAAATCTCTTTGCCATTTGTAGTCAGTTGGTTTTATACTTGAACATTAGAATCATGTATGAAAACATACAACAAAAAATACAAATAAACAGGCTAACATTTAGATTTGCAATGCTTGTGAAATGTACCATGTGAAGGAATTTAGGAAATAATATTTAGTAAGACAAGAAACCCTTAATTTTACCTTTATCATGACTTCCAGTTTAACTGCATCAGCAGCAAACTTTCTGATTCCATCTGACAGTTTTTCCACAGCCATTTGGTCTTCATTATGAAGCCAACGGAATGTCTTTTCATCCAGATGCACCTTCTCCAAGTCAGATGCCTGGGCTGTATTGAAGATGATAGAAGCAACCAATTATGGAAGTAGGCAACGGTATACTTTATTGTGATACGAATCGTACAGTTATCACAGGGAATGCTGAATCTCAACATCTTACAGAAACCACTCAGTTAACAAACTAATATAAATATGTAGCAATAGCACTTACTGTATTTTTCGGAGTATAAGACGCACCTTTTTCCCTCTAAAAGGAGGTGAAATTTTAGGTGCGTCTTATACACTGAATGTAGACCCACTGGCCCCCGCCTCCCAGCAGCTTACCTCCTTGCAAGCAAACAGCAAGAAAAAATAGCTCCTTTCAGCTTCAGCACAGGCTAATTAGCACAAGTTGATTGGATTGCCTCCCGACTCAGCTGATTTGCTCTCAGCTGTTTTGCACAGGGCTCTGCTGCTTGCTGCAAAGAGGTAAATTGCTGGAGCAGATTTTTTTTTCCTTGTGCTAATCAAGCTATGCTGAAAACGAAAATGAAAGTAAAGCAGGCTGTTTGCTGCAACGAGCAGAGGCAGAGGGAGATTTCTTTTTCTTCTTTTTCGTTTTTTTAAAAAATAGATGAGGAATAAATATGGCAAAAAGGAAATATAGAAATTGTAAATTTAATTGAAATGACTAAACACTGTTTAAATTTGTGAACCGGCCAAATACTCTTCAAAGAAAATACATTGTATGTTTGTATGTGTGTTTGTCTAAAAAACCACAACTTTTTATAAAAAAAAAACAAAACAAAAAGGTAGGTGCGTCTTATACTCCGGTGCGTCTTATACTCCGAAAAATACGGTAAGACTTATATATCGCTTTACAGCCCTCTCGAAGCGTTTTATAGAGTCAGCATATTGACCCCAACAATCTGGCTCC